GGCAATATGACACAACTCCATGTGATATGCTAGCGATAACATGAGAAGAATGATGTGGGAGGTCACAGGATACCCTAAGATCCCTACTTCCTGCCAAAGCAGTACAACCAGTTCTGCCTATGTACATTAATTCAGCTCAAATGCATGTGGGTTATAAAAATAAAGGCAATGCTCTTGAGGAAAAATATATGGGTACCCTTTTAAAAATCTCACTCACATAAAGAATTCAGTACATTTATTCCTTTTAGAGTGTGACTGCTAATAGTAACAAATTGTTTTGGTTTCTCTGGTTCAAAAATCTTAGACTTGTAACTAAACGTTCAATATAATTAGGCACTAATAATATTAAGAAATAGCTCAAGCAAAATAGAATAATAGAAAAGCCTTTAATCTCATTTTTTTAAAAAAGATATATTTGGAGCTGTGGCTCAGTGGTGGAGCACTTACTTATCACACCTAAGGGTCTGTGCTCCATTCCCAGCACCTGCCATCTCCCCTCAAAAACATAGAAAAGGAAATCCTCATGTACATCTTGGTACCTAAAAGGACTTTAAAAAGTAACCAAACCCATTAATGATATATCTAAAATTAAGGTCTAAAATACAAATACCCAGAGAAATAAAATGAAGGACTTTTCAATTTAGGAATCTTGAAATTTTCTCTTTTTAAAATTGAGTTCAGGGTTGGGGATTTAGCTCAGCAGTTTGGTGGCCTGCCTTGCAAGCGCAAGGACCTGAGTTCAATCCCCGGTAACAAAAATAAAAATAAAAATAAAAAATAAAATTGAGTTCGATCTGGCTGCACAAATTAAAAGATGAAACAACAATGGAATTAAAAAGCCTATTAGCCCACAGGCCTAATCTGGCCCACTGCTATTTTTATACAGTCTATGAGATGAAGATGGTTTTTACAATTTTAAATGGGTTTTTAAATATTAAAAGATTAATTTGTGATGTGAAAATTACATGAAGGCCAAAGTTATTATGCCATATAATAGTTTTATTGGAACACAGCTCTGCCCATTTGTTTAGGGATTGAATGTGACTGTTCTCACTCAACACCAGAAGTTGAGATAGGGATCTTATAATTACCAAAGCCTAAAAGATTTACTCTCTGGCTTTATAGAAAGTTTTCCACCTCCCTGATCAGAGACTCAGGGTCTCCAATTCCCTAACTGCCCTTTCCTCCAACACTGAGCCAGCTCTGAGGCTAATGTGGCATCGCTCTGACCTACTAGCCACAAACACCTTCACCAGAAACCCAGCGAAAGGGCTAGGCCTGCTGACAAGCCAGGGTCACCATCCAAGGATATGAGACATGGACATGTTACCAACCATTTCCAAAATGCAACTGCAAAGCTCTTACTATAATCAACTTAATGTGGGAAGGAAAGATGCATTTTAACATAGTATAGTTACTCCCTGTCTATGGATTCTGTATCCCCAGATTCAACCAATTACAGATGGAAAATAAATGAAAAAGAGTTTTTTTTTCCATCTGTACTTAATAAGTACAGACTTTTCTCATCGTTAATCTCTAAACAATACAACTACTTACACAGCATTTACATTGTGTTAGGTATCATAGGTACTCTACAGGAGATGTGAAATGAAGATTGCAGAGGTTCTATACAAATATGATGCCATTTCATATAAAGGACTTCAGCATCTGCAGAATTTGGTATCATGTAGGGAGTCTGAGAGACAACTCTAAATATAATTTTTCTTATTTAGGAATGCCTTGAATTCCTTAAGTTCTTTACAATTTTATTCCCCCTTAAGCTTTTTTTTTGTCTACTGATACATTATTTTCTATTGTACCTTAAAGAATCTCCATTAATCCACATGTTAAACTGCTTGTATTGCCATGTTTTCTATCTTGACACCTTTTTCAAACACTCTACTTGACATGAGGAAATCCTTTGCCTCAGTTTCTTTTTCATATTTAATCAGTAGTCTCTCAAGAGGTGCCAGTATATATTGTCCTAAATTACAACAGGAAGGACTGTATGGCTTTTGGATTTTTGCTTTGTTTCTTCTTCTCAGTACTAGGGGTTCAACCTAGGACTTCTGCACTGAGCTACAACCCCAGCCCTTTTTGTTTTGTTTTGTTTTTTGGTACCGGGGATCAAAGACTGTTCTTGAGAGCAGGTGTCGGAACAACTGAGCTAAATCCCCAGCCCACCTCACCCCAGCCGTTTTTTACTGAGAGGATCTCACTAGGTTGAGTCCAGGCTACGCTAAAACTTATAAATCTCCTGCTTCAGACTCTACTAGTGTTAGGATTACAGGCATGCTCCACCACACCTGGTTTTGGCTGTTTCACTGAGGTGTAAGATTTATTTTATGAAAACTTTCACTCTGATGATATCTCTGTTCAGGGAGCCTTTTACTTCCAGCACAATGGTGAACAAGAATCACTGAAGGATCCTGAATAAGAATAATTTTTATGAGTCAGGGAGTCATAGTAAGTAAGGAAATTTTTCAAGATTCCTCCTTTGGTCAAAGCATTTTAAAATTTAAAAACAAAAGAACTCTAGGCTGCAATGTAGCTCCATGATACAGTGTATGCTTAGCATGCACAAAGCCCTAGGTTTAATCAGCACTCATACACACACACACACACACACACACACACACACACACACACACACAAAATCAAGGAAGATAGAAAGATAGCAGATGATCCACATCATATGTCATTAGCAAATTAAAACAAGATATTAGGCTGATTAAAATCTAGAACACTGACAACACCAAATGCTGGTAAGGATGTGGAGCACCTGGAACTCTCATTCATTGTTGGTGAAAGTGCAAAGGCGTACAAGCATTCTGGAAGACAGTTCAATGGTTCTTTATGAAACTAAATATATTCTTTCTATTTTAGCAATTATGATCCTTAGTATTTACTCAAAGGTGTTAAGAACATGTCCACACAAAAATCTACATGCAAATATCCATAGCAACTTTATTCATAATTGCCAAATGTTAGAATGTCCTTCAGTAGGTGAATATATAAACTGGTACTCTAGCCAACATGATATTATTGAATATCAAAATGAACTGAACTATCAAGTCGTGACAACATATGGAGGAAATTTAAATGCATTGCTCTGGAGGAAATTTCAATGCATTGCTAAGTGAAAGAATCCAATCTATATGAGCTATATGATTCCAATTATATGACAGTGTGGAAAAGGTCAAACTATGGAGACAGTAGAAAAATACCGACTGTCACAGGTTAAGGAGAGAAAGGATGAATAGAGAGAGAAAAGAGGATTTTTAGAGTGGTCAGACTCCTACATGGTACTACAATACAACAGGTCAAAACAGTATACACTTGTCCAAACCCACAGAACATTAAGTCAAGAGTGACTGTTAATGAAAACTGTGGAGTCTGAATGACAATGACGTATCAGTGTGACGCTATTATAACAAATGTGTCATCCAATACATGTATATTACTTACGTACTTATTAGGACAGAAGTTATGTAGAAAATCTCTATGCCTTTCTTTGTTGTTGTGAACCTAAAAGTGCTCTAAAAACTAAAAGCTCTTTTTTAAAAACCCAGAAGCCTAAAAACTAAAAGGGCAATACCCAGTGTCACAGGCTAGATTTGAAAACCTGGCCATGGTTTGCCAACCCTTACTCGAATACATCATGCATCTGAGTGATTTGTTTCATATTCCCTACTTTTCCACCCTTCCTTTCCCCACTGAATGAGTTCTTCATGGTCAGAGACCTTAGCTCTATTGTGTCTACTGCTTAATCCCCCGTGCTTAAATATGCCCAGCACATAGTAGGTGGTCAGCTAGTATTTTTAGGTACAGGAAAATATAGAATTTAATTAAAAGCCTCCAATTTAGTGGCAAAGTGTGATGGTGAAGGCCACTGGTACTCCAGAAGCCTTTTATCCCTCTCACCAGTACTAGGTGTTATAGTTCTACACTGCTAAAGGCTGAAAGTCTTCCTCAGGTATGCCCTTCCTCAGAATATTTCCTGGACCAAACCAGGGATCTGGAAATGCCCAGGACTTTAAATCCACCCAGGGAGCCTCACTGTCAATGATGGATATATAGGAACATGAAGGCTTCATTCCCTTGCCTTGAGAAGAAACAACTTTGCAGTACACCAGAACTTCCAAGGAACCACGTGGAGCCTTGGACTGCTGAAACCACACCCTTAGCTGGTTTCTTCCTCTTCTTTATCCTATCATTAGTACCTCCTTACTGGTTTCTCCTGGGAATACTTCCTTAATAAATCCTTTGCCCAGGAATCTTCATTTCAGGATCTGATTGTCATTAATCTGATCTAAGACACCCTCATGTACTAGAATTATCAGATACAGTATAAAGCAACTGTGTATTTACTCAATGATTTGAAAAAAATGGAAAAAGAAGGAATAAGTAAATCAGAAGAGACTATGGAAATAAACACTATATTTGGAGAAGAGGCAAATCAAACTTTTAAAAAATTAAATTATTCATATAATCTCAGCAAATGGCTTAAACTGCAGATTAAACACAACTAAAAGGAGAATTGACAAACTAGAAGAAAAACCTAAATATAACCAAAATACATTTCTAAAACACAGGGTGAAAGAAAACATGAAAGAGATTAAAAGATAAAAAAATGGAAAGAGATTAACCAAAATATAAGCCATCAGAATCTCTTCCAGTGAAACAGCCAGCAGTTTCACTATGAAGTATATTCTGCAGAAACTCCTGAATTTACATATGAGGAGAAACAAATACATCCATGTGAGCATTGTTTACAATAGCTCCAATCTTGAAAAAGCTACAATATTTATCAAGAGGATGGCAGATAATTATAGTAGTTTCAGCCACCTTAGATCTGCTCTTTATAAGTTCAGACTCTGGAAGAGCCATCAAATGAAATGTGTGATCACAAATATTTACAGCCTTGAGGATCTGATAGGAAAGAGCACGCAAGAGAAACAGTGCCATTTAATCTTGCGGGAAGGTGCCAGCTGACCCACCTGATGTTTTCCAGGGCGTTTGTTATCTGCTGTTGCTCAATGTCATAGAGTTTCACCTTGAACCCTCCACTGGCAAACAGCATGGCCCAGCTTCGTCCAATGAGTCCACTAAAGAGAAAATTAAGAAAGGGCTCAACTTAATAATCAAACAGCTTTTTCATTCCTCATTCAAAAGGAACTTAAAAACTATACAACATATCATTCTTAAAATATTTGATAATCTCTTCAAAGTACACACCTTGATACATGTATTAATTTAAAATGTTGTCTATTCCCACTAGGAACTCCTGAGCCCCCAGCTCCAAGGCCAGCACTAATATTCCACATGGAACCAGTGACACATCAGTCACACTCATCATGGGGTCACACACTAAACAAAACTTTATAGATGAGAGGATTACAAGGCAAAAGGACCCGATAGCCCCCATTTGACTGTGTTATGGTAAGTCATTTAACTTGAGCAATAGAACTAGTGCAATGGCCCTCTGTATCTGCAAGTTCCACATCTGGGGATTCAATGAACCATGGACAGAAAATATTTGGGAGAAAAATTGCATCTGCATTGAATCTGAACAGACTTTTCTTGTCATTGTTCCCTAAACAATTGAATTTAATGAGTATGTACAAAGAATTTACATTGTTATGTATTATGTCATTCAGAGATGACTTAACATGTTCCCACCTGCTTAAACCACCAGTGGTACATGCATGACTGTCTCAATGGACAGCTTAAACCACCAGTGGTACAAGCAGATCTAGTCACTTTGATCAGTCTTCTAACAAAATTAATAAAAAGCTACCGGAAGGGATAGTCATGCATGTATGACTGGTGGTTCAAGCCACCTGGCAGCAAGACATATGAATTACAGCCTGCTGTGAACATGTTAAAGTATACAGGTGTGAATAGGTTATAGGCAAATACTATACCATTTTATATAAAGGACTTGAACATCCATGAATTTTGTTACCTACAGGGTCATGGAACCAGTACCCTGTAGATACAGGATTTTCTCTGCCCTCAAATAATTACTACCACCCCCTTCATATGTGAGCATGGATTAGGTGCCAGGCATTATTAAACACTTTTCAGGTTCCATTATACACATGGGGAAACTGAGGCACAAAGAGATTAAATCCACACAAGCTATTCTTTCTGCAGCTAGGAGATGAAGTCAAGAGATCTGACTCTTGAGTTCTTACTTGCAACCCCTATACTTCACTCACTGTTTCAGACTTACTAAAAAATGAAAAGATAAAGTCAGAGTTTACATGGGGTTGCTCAAAAAGGATTAAAAAATGTACACAAAGCATCTAGAGTCCAAATTTATTTCTAATAACAGTCTCCAACAAGAGGAAGCAGCACTCCCTGGAAAATGACTAATTATAGGGCTGAGCCGAGAATAACACAGATGAGCCTGTAGTTCTCCATAAAACCAAACAGTAAGGAAGGGAAAAAAACCCAACCAAGCAAACAAACAACAACAAAGAACCTACACTGACAGAGCACGCTGCCGGATTATAGGAGCCCACTAGACAAACTCCCAGAAGCCAAAGTTGAAACAACTTGAGCAATAAAGTAGTATGGGGTTGTAGCACAAAGTGTAGAACAAATGTTCAGCTGTCCATAGTGATGTAAATATTGAACGAATAAATGCTGAAGAAGCCAAATTTCTTTTGCAGAAGAATTCTAAATAATTTATGCAGGTAATCTTCCCTCGGGGAAGTGGAGTATCATTCCCCAGTCCTTAAATGCAGGCTTTGTAGAGTTCCTTCCTTCCAAAGAGTCCAATATGGAAATCAGAGAAGATCAAAGTAACCTACCAGAGAAACCTGAGACACTACTCAGCCAGGTGTTCCAGGTCAATGTGAACAGTGATCCTATTGATAGTATGTGCCCTTGATACATAATAAGAATGACAATTTACCTGTGTAGTCTTTTCAAAAACCCATAACATTAGTCTCATCATGAGAAAAACATCAAACAAACCCAACAGAGGGACAGTCTATAAAATACCTCACTAGAACTCCTCAAAACCATCAAGGTCACTGAAAACAAGGAAGGTCTGAGAAACTACTGTGTCAAGAGGAGTCAAAAAAGAAATAACAGTCATTTTCCTCCTGCAAGCTTGTGTGTTGTGCTCTTGGGTCACGGGTTTTGCTTCTATCCAGAGGGTCTCTGGAGAACTAGTACTGAACCCCAAAACAAGAAGGTTGGCTCTCAAGGTGTTTCCAGAAGGGATTCACCCTTTGGTGGATGCTTTTCCATCTTCCCTGGACATCTCAGGCCTGGACCGCAGAGGAGGCTACCAAATGACCAACCTGACTATGGATAAGGCTAACGCCCTTGGAGAGAAGTGAAAAATCTGAAGTCGTCTACTTTTTTTTTTTTTTTT